CTACTACTACTACTACTACTACTACTACTACTACTACTACTACTACTACTACTACTACTACTAGTACCACTACTACTACTACTACTACTACTACTACTACTACTACTACTACTACTACTACTACTCCTACTCCTACTCCTACTCCTACTCCTACTCCTACTCCTACTACTACTACTACTACTACTACTACTTCTACTCTTCTACTTCTACTACTACTACTACTACTACTACTAGTACTACTACTAAGCTCAAAGAGCAAGGATGATAGTAATGATTTTCGTAAAGTTGAAAGCGATGGTTGAAGGTTGAGGGTTGATAGAGGTTGAGGTTTGGGAAACACATCATTTCTGCAGGTCCGTGATCAAAACTATAGTACAACATAGCACCCTATTCTGGCTAAAGCCCAGGTTGTATTCTGTTTTCCGGCCAGAAGTTTCGCACGAAGTGGGCGACACAGAGAGCAACGCAAACATGAAACTCTTCATTACTAGCACGGGAAGAGCCGTAAGGTACCATAGCGCACTGCATCATACTAGGTGTCAGTTTTTTGTAGTTGTACAGCCCAGGCCTTCAGCCACCCTAGCCAATCGTAGCTAGTGAACCTCAAGATCTACAAGTTGACAACATCATTGACAACATCACAATGTGGCTCGTCTGTTAACACAGCCAATGAATCCGCATAGAAGTCGCAAGCCCTACCTGTATCCACAAACCCTACAAAACAGTAGGTCATGACCCCTTAACTATAGGGCATTACCCCCCCTCAGGTAATCAACCCTATAAACCCTAAACCCTAAAAACCCTAGACCCCGAACACGGAGCCTGCCAAGGACGCCACGTGAAGCGCTCCGAAGGGATGATCGGCCACATGGCAGAGTTGGCTGGCAGGGTACTATAGGGCTCTAGGGTTTAAGGTTTTTGGGTTTATGGGTTTAGGCTTTTAATATAGAGCCAAGGTTTACTGCACCTTTTGGACTTACCAGGACCCTCCAAGGGCCCTTTCATAGAGTCCCTATGGCCCTTAATAGTGGGTAGTTGGGGCATATTAGACTACCCTCATGACTGAGATGACTACTGTAGGGGCCTAAACGATTACCAATACTATTTAGCGTGTTCCTTGTTTTAATTATGGTATAATGGGCCCCAAGACCAAATTCTAATTATTAGGCCCCTATATTAACCTTTTGGATTAGTGGGGAATCAGTTAGGGTTAGGAGTGGGTTTGCGGGCCCCTTAGACGGCAAAGCCGAAGATCTCACCCCAGAATGGAGGGAAACCGTTTGTTACCACAGCTCGGTTCTCCTGTAGTACCTTTTTGTCCTGTTTGTTTTGGAGTCTCCTCACTTAATGCTGACACTCTCACGCTCACTCACTGGGGTTCAGCTTTTTTGGGGTCTAGAGCTCAGAGATCACCTGGACCACCTACCTTTTCAAAAAACCTTATATAAAGAAATCATAATAAGGAACCCTAAACAGGTAGGTTCTTTAGGGTCCAGGTAGGGCTCATAGAGTTCAGGGTTTAGCGATGGGGTCCAGAGCTCCGGGTTTCGCTAGGGGCTTCTTAGGTGGGTGCTGTGATTTCCCATAGCGGAGAAGCGAACCCTGGGCTCTGGAGTACCATACTCTAATATTTTCTCCTTGAAGGAACCAGTATGATATACAAGTTTATACTTTTTCTCACTGGTTATATACGTAAAAAGCCCAGAACCTGACTATGATTCTGCATGTTCGTGTGTTCTTTATCAGCTGGCTAATGTCTTCGAGAACCACCCTTACAGACTCACTTCGGCTAAACTTGTTGAAACCTCAACAAGACAGACAAGACCCTAAACCCTACTTAGTGGGTCATTCTTAAAAGTTGGGCTTGCAAGCGCGGTCAGCCCAATTGCGAAACGCACCTGCGAGCTACAAATACCCCTTGAACTCGGACAATCCAGCTTATCTCTACGGGCCGCTCCCCGTGGAGCACACCTCAAAGCTCACTCGCCCGTATCTACGCGAGGCCCAATCTCTACATCTTGAACCCTCAGCGGTGAATATCCCTGACAAACCCTAAAACCTAAATCTTGAACTTTAAGCCCGCAACCATAAACCCTAAAACCTAACCCCTAAACGCTCAACCATAAACCCTAAGTCCTGGAACCTAGACCCAAGCTATGAAGACCCTAGCACCCTAAACCTCAAACCTGGTTGCGGCGTCAACCGCGACCGCGCGGCGACAGCGCATTGAGGGTTTGCACCGTATTTAAGGAAATATTGTTTTTTGGGGCATTTTTGCGCATTTGTGTTTGGAAGTGTGCGGAGCCACTAGTCACAAGTGTCGTTTTTTCCACGACTTTGAAGACCAATGTGTAGAAAACACTGGCTGGCGTGGCATTTTCGCAACACACTGTTCGAGCACCTTGAAGTGAAAACTTTATCAGGCTGTTTTTGTGTGTTTTGTCCTGTTGTTCTTGTGGTGGTGGTGGTGGTGGTGGTGGTGGTGGTGGTGGTGGTGGTGGTGGTGGTGGTGGTGGTGGTGGCGGCGGCGGCGGTGGTGGTGGTGGCGGTGGTGGTGGTGGTGGTGGCGGCGGCGGTGGTGGTGGTGGTGGTGGTGGCGGTGGTGGTGGTGGTGCTGGTGGTTGTGGTAGTGGTAGTGGTGCTGGTGGTGGTGGTGCTGATGGTTGTGGTAGTGGTGCTGGTGGTGGTGGTCGTTCGTTCTTCTTCTTCTTGTTGTTGTTGCTGCTCTTCTTCTTGTTGTTTTGAGCTTGAAGGCTTCACAGAAGTCTGTGGTTGTTGTTACGAGCTTCAGGGCTTCACGCAACTCTAGGAGACTTGTTTACCGCGCTTTGCTCGCTTTGTGTGCCAAAGTTCCTAGCGCAACAAAGGCATCAGCAGCAGGAGAGCTAAAGGCTAGCAGGCATCAGCAGTAGGAGAGCTAGTCTGAACATAAAGCACTAAAGGGCAGCAGGCATCAGCAGTAGTAGAGCTAGTCTGAACATAAAGCACTAAAGGCCAGCAGGCATCAGCAGTAGGAGAGCTAGTCTGAACAAAAAGCACTAAAGGGCAGCAGGCATCAGCAGTAGGAGAGCTAGTCTGAACATAAAGCACTAAAGGGCAGCAGGCGTAGCAGTAGAACTGCTAAGAGTAGAACAGGTTCGTCATTAAGCCCCCCCCCCCCCACCCCCCCGGCCCACCCCCCGAAGCAAGCACTAAAGGGCAGCAGGCATCAGCAGTAGTAGAGCTAGTCTGAACATAAAGCACTAAAGGGCAGCAGGCATCAGCAGTAGCGGAACTGCTAAGAGCAGAACAGGTTCGTCATTAAGCCCCCGCCCACCCCGCCCCCCACCCCCCGAAGCCTGAAAACATGCAAAACCTGCAAAAGCCCTGCGGTCACCCCTAACGCCGCATGCTCAAACCTCACCGGACCCTTGCATTAACATCTACAGCTTGGAACAATTATTTAGCCCGAGACGCCTATTGATATCATAAAGGCTCCTAATTCTACCGAAGGAGACCTATTCTAACCAGTACGGACCCCATACTTAAGCCCGGACGATTAAACCCTAAAACCTGAACCTTCAACTAGTACACCCTAAACCCCCAATCCCTGAACCCTAAACCCCTAAACCCTATAAACCCTAAACAACCCTAGTCCATTTCTTAAGGCCACTGTTGTCATGGGGCTAAGGCTGCTACGTCCGGTGGCACTGCCTGCATGTGAACGGGAATTGGTTTGGGGTTTAGGGTTTAGGGTTTGGGGGGCGAGTTTGGTTTGGGGGTGTCGGGGGTTTTTGGTGGTTTTGGTGATTTAGAGTGTGGAGTTTTGAGGTTTGGTTTGGAGTTTTAGGGTAATGAGGTTTCGGTTTACCTAGACCCGTAGATGCAGGACTTTTTTGGGCGCACCGTAGTGTCTTGTGATAGTATCCTAACCAGAAAATAAAGTCATCCAAAGGCCTCAGTAGGGTTCGGATATGGCTTTAGGTTTACCTTACCCCCCCCCAAAAAAAAATAACCTACCATATTAGGGACTTATTTAAATCACACTAGGGGGTTCTTAAAAATGCAGGTTCCTCAGGGTCCAGGGCATGCTGCTTTATCAACTTCAGGGTCTCGGCAGGGCTTCGGGCTTTGACCCAAAGCCCACATGGGTGATTGTCAAAATTATGGTCCCTTTTTTGGGTACCTTACATATTAGGTGCGGTACTATATTAGGGACCCAAAAAGGGGCCATGATTGTGACAACCACCCGCATGAGTGTAAGGATGTTTCACTTCGTGTATGAAGGCCAGTGAAGTGGAGATCCAACAGGGCCCCTAAGCCTCAAAGATCAGTGGGCCCTAGTCTCTGCAATATGTCACAGACCGGACTCTGGTCCAACAATGCAGTGGCGTCCTCAATAGGATGTTCTACAACGTATGAATTTGGGATCAATCTTCGATCAGGGTTTAATGGGCAGCATACTTTTGGTCCCAGAGTCCACATTGCCATGTATCCTCCCGAAGTCTTCTATTCTCCGAAACCTGAAATAGCCCCACATGTTCAGAAGCATCTTCCTTACGAGCCGTTCTTGTTAACAACCTGCTAGCCCAGTAAAAGACTGTGCCTGTGTCTTGGCAGCTGATTGTGCTTTGCACGGCTTTTTTGCCTGGGCTTTGCACCCATTGCTCGATTGTTCATGCCCAAAAAAAGGCTGTGGGAGGTTCTGCTTCAGGGCATGTCTCTGCAGGCGTCCGCAGCTAGTAAGACGATACCCTTATCGTCCCCTACAAAAGTAACATGAGCTAGTACCCTAAACCCTTTTCTGAGGGTTCAGGCTCCAATATGGGAGTTTCCGATAATTAGGGGAACTGCGGTACCTTATTTTGGGGTCCTTGTAATAAGGAACCTACTGTTTAGGATACTATACTAGGGTCCCTTGTTTTCGGAAACTCCAATATCATCTAGGCTTCCGAGTTCTTGGCCTGCAGAGTCTTGGCTGAAGACCCCAGGGGGAGAAGCGACTGAGCTGCAAAGACGCCATGCACCGTCCAGGCTCCCTGCATGGATGCTGTCTCAGGTTTACCTGGACCTAAGGAACCTACCTGTTTAGGGCCCCCTAATATGATTTCTTAATAAAAGTCCCGAAAAAGGTTATTTGGGGTTAGGTTTAGGGTTTAGGTTTGTTCGGCTTTGGGGTTTTTCGGGCTTGGGGTGTTGTGGGGTTTAGGGCTTTCGGGATTAAGGGTTTCGCGTGTGCCAGCCCGACCATGCATACCTAGCGCCCGTCCCAATTCCCCTCAAGGTTAAACCCAAATGGGAGTTTCCGATAATTAGGGTCCCTTCTTTTGGGGTCCGTATAATAAGGATCCTACTATTTGGGGTACTATATTAGGGTTCCCCATTTTCGGAAACTCCCAGATCCCAAGATAACAGCTCCAAAGCCTAAACCCAAAGCCTTAAACAGGCAGCCAGCCACGGCGGGTTGTGTACCGCGCACTCCGAGATGATGAAGACGCCAGCTGGGGCTTGCAAGCAAGGGATCCCCATGCGGAGTGCTCCTGGGCTCTGTATACCCACGGTTTAGAGTTCAGAGTATGGTTATGTTTATTTCTCAATCAGTCTAAGCTTTCGCTTCCTTGCAGTTGGCCACCCCGACTGGTGAGTCTGTGTTGTTGGCGTTTGGGTTTCGGGATGTCTGAAAAATCCAGTCAGCTCCTTGTGTCTTTACCCGTGCTGGTATGCCGGACTGTTTATTTCGTCAGCACCCGAGGTGACTCGTAGCATTTTTGATGCTCCATGCAGGTCTGCAGACATCGGCACTTTGTTCTTAAATGGCGCGCCTTTATGATTTTCCCTGAAGTGATCCACACGTGGCGACCGATTAGTTCCGTACGCATTTGCTTTGGTCTTCTCAGTCGTCTTTCTGCATCCGCTATAAAACCCTGCGCACGCGACCAGGTTCAGTGAGTTTCGCCGTCGAGGAGGGTTCCAAGGCTGCCCGAAAGAACCAGTTCATCCACACGACGACCGATCCCAAAGTGGCCCTCTACTACGCCGAAGCTTTTACCATGGGCCCTCGGAAGCACCAGCTCGTCAAGATTGACCTGACTGGTTTTCAGGATGATGGTGGGCAGGTGCTGGATGTGTCAACCTCGACAGGGTGCATGCGTTGGGAGATCACATCGGATAAGGGGAAATTTTTTGCCATGAAGCACAAGGTGGTATTGTTGAGTGGTGACGTCGAAGCAGACCGTGTGTTGGGCACTTTAGACACACAACACATGCGCCCGACCAGAGATAAATGCTCTTTTGATGACTTTGTTCACAACTTGCCGCAAAGAATCCGAAGCCAGCTCGAGCGCTTTGCTGGTGCTGCCGAGGCGGGACTTGTAAACATTAGGGTTTAGGGTTTAGGGTTTAGGGTTTTAGGGTTTAGGGTTTAGGGTTGCACCCCCAAAGCCCGTCTGTAATGCCGAATAGCCGAAACCCTCTTGTCCCGTCACTCCCGAGAATCCTTGAAATGCTTGAGCGACATCTGGGACCAGAACACACAAACTAGTTGTGCATCTGCGGTCCAGAGCTCATCACACTCTTCAAACTTCAGATAAAGCATTGCAAAAGTTTCACAACTCACGGCAGTGACACCGTTACGAACTGAATAATAAAGTGCGACAGCAAGAAGCACAGTGCTAGCCAGAGTCTTTGTTGGACTAGTATTTTACCATTACCACTACCACTCCTACCACCACGACGACACCCACTAACACAGCCACTACCACTTGGGATTGTGTGATAAACCCGTGCCATTAGGTTCAATCTTGGCACGGGGGGTTTGGTTTTTTTCGATGGTAAACGATGAGAAGAAAATCAAACGATAACAATAGTTTCATGGGAAAGCGATCAGAAGAAACATAACGATAACGACGTTCAGGGGTGAGGACGTCTATACGGGGTTATTATACAACCTCACTCGTGTCGCTGCCGCTGCTGCTGCTACTGCTACTATTATACTACGACGACGACTACGACTACGACTACGACTACGACTACGACTACTACTACTACTACGACTACTACTCCTACTACTACTACTACTACTACTCCTGCTGCTGCTGATACTCCTACTTACTCCCACTCCAACCCCCATCCCCACTCTCACTCCCACTCCCACTCTCACTCCTACAACTCCTACCAATTACCAGTACTAGTACGAGTACTGCGACGGCTACTACCGCTGGTCCTACTGCCTCTACTACTACTACTACTACTACAACGACGACGACTACCACCATTACCACTACCACTTGCCATGGAGAACACAGCAGCATGAATAGCGCGACAGGGTTCTATCCTGCCCACAGGTTGAGGATCGCTATGCTGCAACAGCGGCAGCTGAGACACCATGGCTGGCACAGCCCTCGGCAGTGTCCACACCCTTCGAAGAGAGCATGTGTGCGCTCATGATGGACTTGGCGGTACCGAGAGCATCCAGGCCCCTCACGAACAGTCCTTCGCGCAGTTATCTCAAGGCTATAGGGTTCGGAGAATGGCGATGGTTTGGGCTTAGTTTCGCTGCGTGCTTTCAGATGTCGGGTAGTTCCTGCACTTCAAGCATCGACAACCCAAGCGTGAAAGCTATACGCAGTATAGATATGGTAAGTATGATAAATACTCCTTTCTGCGTTTGACTCTTGTCACCGCTACCGACAATATCCTGACGACAGGCGCGTCGAAGGCAGTCAAGTCGGCGAGAACGAACTTCCGACCACGTTGCTCGCAGCGCTCTGACAGAATTTCGTGAGCTATCCATTTTGCCAACTAGTAAGGAAGGGCAAGGGATATAATGTAGGAGTTAAATATTTACCCATACTATTTTGCGGGTTCCTTGTTATGATTAGAGGACAATAGGCCCCAAATCCCTAACTATTCGAATTATTTTAGGGCCCCTATATTGAATTTATACAGTGTTGGTGCAGCAGCGCCTCAGAGCTTGAATCCTGCTGGCTTGAGGTTGGGGGGGGGGTGAAGTTTAGGAGTTGGGGTTTAGGGTTTAGGGGTTTAGGAATTAGGGGTTTAGAGCTTACCTGGACCCTGAAGAACCAACCTTTTCAAGAACTTATATAAGGAAATCATAATAAGGAACCCTGAAAAGGTAGGTTCTTTAGGGTTCAGGTAGAGTTTAGGGGTTTAGGGCTTCCAAGAGTTTAGGGTACAGGATATGGTTTGTTGAGAACTTCTTCCCAGAGACTCCAATATCCCTTAATTAAGGAATATACCTTAAATTATAGTAGGATCCTGAATATGATTTAAGGTATATTCCTTAATTAAGGGATATTGGAGTCTCTGGGTCCTCAACCCAAAGTCTGAAAGCCTAAACACTAAGCCCGAAGCCCTAAATACCAAAACCCCTAAACCCTATAGGTCCCTTATGGATCCCTTTAAGTAACCCTTATGGATCCCTTTAAGGAGCCCTTTAAGGAACCCTATAGGTCCCTTATGGATCCCTTTAAGGAACCCTTTAGGGACCCCGGGACCCAGTCATGAGCCGAGCGTCTCGATGTACAATTCGAGGTACGTGTAGAATGAGACCATTCCAAGGATAGGGTTTATGAAAACAGGTGACCTTAAGAAATGGATTAGGGTTTATGAAAACAGCGACCTTAAGAAATAGATTAGGGTTGTTTAGGGTTGTTTAGGGTTTAGGGGTTTATGGTTTAGGGTTTGGGGCTCATGTTTGTAGCTATTGCGAGACTCTGGACCTTGAGCGGCGATGGTTGAGGGTTCAGGCCGACAACGACGCTCCCAGGGCCTCGATGCAACGAAGCGTAGCTGCCAAGTTCTGTTAAACGCATCATCCCTTTTCGTTAGACCCTGCTTTGGTGGATAATAGGGCCTGCTTCCATAGACACCCGGGTGGTTGTCAAAATCATGGTCTTTTTTGGGGTCCCTAATATAACACGGCGCCTACTATTTAGGGTACCCAAAAAGGGGCCCTAATTTTGACAACCACCCATATGGGAGTTTCCGTAATAAGGGACCCTAATATAGTACCCTAAATAGTAGGATCCTTAGTCTAAGGACCCCAAAATAGGGACAACCACCCACCCCGTTTACCGCACACCCGTTGCCTCAGGCCGGGCGTGCACCGATCGGCAGGGCTGCTGCTGAGCAAGAGCGCAACCCGTTCGGAGCTTTCGAATTGTAATATTGGGGCCTACATAGTTATAACATATAGTTACCAATGCTACGTTGGGGGTTCCTGATGATAATTCGAATATAATGGGTCCCCAAAGCCTATTCTGATTATTATAAGGCCCCTACATCGTTGTTGCCAGCGTCACGAAGTTGCGAAGTAAAAAGTGGCTGTCCAGAGGAGATGTTTCTGGCTCCCCAACAGGGTTTTTTTTTCAGATGAAGCACGCAGTTTAGGGTTTAGGGTCTAGTCGTAGCTAACCTGAGGCTGTTGCTAAGGACGTATTCTCGTTGGCTTACATTGCGTTCTATGGACCTCTTATGAGCCGGCGCAGAGAGAAGCCGGACAAGGCTCAGCCGGACCCGGCGCTGACCCGAGGAACGAGATAATGAATTCGACTCAATGCTATGGCTAGTTATGTACTGTGTGGGCTCACATTGTATCTGGCTTGGCAGCCTTGTATCACCCGGCAAAAGACAAGCCGGAATAAGTTTTGCTGGGCCAGCGCTGGCCCGACGAACAACTTGGTTCAAGTTGATTTGTCCTATGCCGGCATCGTGAAACGTACGTGTTTGTTCGTGCTAGCCCGTGTTAGAGTTTAGGTGTTTGGGATGTCGTGTTCAAGGGTTCATTCGAGTCATGGTCTCTGTCTAAGCTTGTGCGACGAAGGCAAAGGCATGAGCCAAGATGCTTGCCATTGCGAGTCTAGGTAGGGCTTTGGGACATTTTATATTTTCCCTTATTGGGCTTAAGAGGATCTTATTTACTAATATTTTTCAAAGGCTTGAAAAGCCCCACCTAGGAGTTGTGACCATGCCTTGAACTTGAACTTGGACCTGTCCCGTTCAGGACCGGACACGTCTAAGTTACAAGTTTGAGACTAATATTTTTCAAAGGCTTGAAAAGCCCCACCTAGGAGTTGTGACCATGCCTTGAACTTGAACTTGGACCTGTCCCGTTCCGGACCGGACACGTCTAAGTTACAAGTTTGAGAACATGCACAGGGTGCCCAGGAACAGTCTGGCTGCTGTTGCCGCTGTGAATCCTTTCCCTTAACATTAACCCTCCCCGAACCGAAACTCTGAAAATGGTTTGATTAATAGTGGGCGTTTTATTTCTACTGTCTTAAGTAGTTATTTGAGTGAACAGTACCAGTAACCAGAAAAGCAATAACCAACCTTTTTAAGGCCATAAACCCTAAACCCAGACCCCTTGTAGGATTCAAGACAGACAGGCAGGCAGCATTTTCGTCTATACGAGTGAGGAAGGCCGGAGTGCCATGCTCACAGAAAGACAGACAGTCCCAGCGGCTGGGAAAGCAGAAGAACGAGTGAGGAAAGGGAGGGATGGTGGCTTAGGCGCTTAGGCGGGTTTAGGGTTGAAGTAGGATTTCAATTAGAGGTGTAGGGGTTAGGGTCCTCCTTTAGAGGCCTGAACCCCCCCCCCCCCCCCCGCAAATTCAGAATAGGTTTTATTAAAGGGCAGGGATGATTTCGGGAGGATTCGCCCCAAAGTGTTTTTTGTTATTAGAAGGTTTTCTAATAAAGGGGGGAAGTGATTAGTGTGAGTGAGAGTGATGCTAGTGTGATTGCCAATCTTATCAATGGTGTTGGTGCTGGCATTGGTGTTTCTAGTATTTTTCTTGCATTGAGGCAGGATCAGCTGCCCCTGGTGATGGTGGTGGCGGCAGTGGTAGTGGCGTCTTGTTGAACTGCGGCTGTTGCTGGTGGTGTTGCTGATACGTTGGTTGTGCTTCTGTTGTTGTAGGTGGTGTAATTGTTGGTGTTGGTTAAACTGTTGCTGTTGCAGCAGTTGCTTGTGTGGCTGTTATTGCTGTGGTTGTTGGTGTTGCTGCTGTTGTTGCTGGTCTTGCTGTTGTTGCATTGTATTTGTTGTTCTTATTACTGTGTTTGTTATTGCAATTATTGTCGTAACTAACTACTGTTGTAATTGTAATTGTTATGGTGCTTGGTATTGTTGTTATTGTTATGTTTCTTGCTGTTCTTGTTAATGCTGTTGGTTTTGTAGTTGTTTTCGCTGCAGTTGTCGCGTTTATTGTGCTTATTGTTGTCGATGTCGTTGTTGTTGACGATGATCTTATTGTTGTTGCTGCTGCTGTTGTTGCTACGGCTGCTTCGGCTACTGTTGATTTGGCTGTTGTTGGTGGTGTTTTTGTATCGCTTTGGCAGTGGTTTGGATGATTGTGTGTCGATGGAGTTTGTGGATTCCTTGCCACTGCATGCTTTGTTATTCTCGCCGCGGCATCCAATAAGACGGCTTTTTTCTCTGGTAGAAACATCTTGCAATTCCTATCGTTGCTGCTGCTACCGTTTCTCTTTCAATCACCTCAATTGGCACTGCTTTGTGTGGTTGTCAACTTGCCAACATTAGGGACCTCTTTGGGTCCCCAAACCATAGTGTGCGGTATTAAGAGTAGAACCCTTACAAGGACCATATCTTTGACGACTACACATAGCCGAACTACCCTAGTTCTGACCAATCAGCGAGTAGCCGGAACCCCTCCTCAGGATGAAAGATAAGCGTTCCATGTAGCGTTGGACATGCAGGATTTGGAATCTACGCGCAAGGGTTTAGGGTCTACGGTGGCCGGGCTGATAGGGTTCAGAATGCCAGTGATCATGTTGGAAGTATGACGAGCATCAGCGTTGCTACAAGTCTCGTAGCACACTAAGCTCGTTACTATCACGGGTATTAGCACTGCGTTTCATTTTTTGTCTATGTCTTTGGGTTTGTGTTGTGAAGTTGGATCCCAACCTTAAACCCTACAAGCTTTACAAGATTCTACAAGTCCATAAGCCTGAAAATCCGAAAAGCCTCGGGAAGCCGCAAACCTTAGGTACGGCCCCCACTCAGTAATTGTTGAATAATATTCATAATTTAGATATTTTAGGACCTTAATAGTAGCCCTATTATAGACTCTTACGGTAAGGGGGCCGTACCTAACCTAAACCCTAAACGCGTCAGGCTGACGTTGTCAGGGCACTGGCTGCATCGATCCCAGCAGGCGTCTTACCTTAACAATTCCCTATACGATTGTGGGCCTTTCTGATTATAACTATAGCATGATATACCCCAGAACCCTATTCTAATAATTACAGTAGGGCCCTTATAGTATGAGGTCTAGGAGTAGTACTTCTTTGGTTCGTCTTGGGGCCTCGGCAAGCCCCATCAAACCCCTGCTCCCCGTGTTCGTGGGATGCAAGTCTTCTATTGGAAACTCCAGAAAGTTGGAATATGGTTTCAGGGTAGGATACCTTATAATTTACCATAAAGGGCTTAGGATAATCATATTCCAACTTTCTGGCTTTTACTTTAGATTGAGAACATTCGAGCGCCGGTGTTTGAAAATCCTAGCACTGCGTCCTTAGCCTTTGGGCTGTTAGACTTTACATGGGCGGTTGTCAAAAGTATGGCCCCTTCGTGGGTACCTTAAATAACCGGTGCCGTACTATAGTGAATTCGACATGTCGGTTTGAGATTCGCCAGTATAAGGTTCAGGGATTGAAAGTCTTGAGTTGTAGGCGTTTTTGGGGCTGTATCGCTCAGCGTACAACACTACAAGCTTCAGGGTCTGAGCTTCAGCGTCTTAGGTTGTTATCCCGGGTGTAAAGTTGGGCTTAGGCGGTCTAAACCGGATGTGGACAACCGCCGGCTGGCTTGGTTCGAAAACCAGACCCTGGACGTTTCCTAAACTCTAAACTAAAACCCTAAACCCTGAAACCTCATCCCTAAAACCCTGAACTATAAAACCCTAAACCGGGAACCCCGCTTTGGAGGAACAGGCAGGCACAAAAAGGAGACTCTATACCTTTAAACTCTCAGCCCTCATAAGTGTTTTTGTCTGGGATGATGGCACAGCAAGCCATTGGAATTAGGTTTGTGGTTGGGGTTTGGCCTTTAGGCCTGGTACTCCAAGCAAGGACCAACGATTCAGGATCATTGGAGCTTCTGGGTATCGGACCATGTTAGGGTTTAGGCTTATGCTTTTGGGATTTCGGGGCCTTGGGTCGTTGCATGTCAGATATCGGTTTTTGTGGGGCCACGCGATGGACGACTCACTTGGGCGAACGCATGAAGCCAATCGCGCTGACCCCAATCCCAGCCGGCTGAAATCTCAAAATCCCGAAACCATGAAGCTCAAAAGCTACTCCTATACGATTACACTTAAAGTTACACAAAGCCGCATCACGAAGATCGGAGCAGTAAGGGCCAATGGAGACTCTTTGCAGGCTGGTTTGCAGATTTGCTTCTATAATTGTTTCCTAAAGCCGGAAAGCCTGGGGAATTCCGAATGCTAACCATGCAGACAGAAAAGAGCCCTCAACTAAAACGAATGCCTTAAGCTTCATGCCAGTTCAACGCCGTGTAGAACCTGGAAACCTGCATGTTCAGGAAAAAAGCGAAAGCCCAAACCCTTAAGCCCCTAAACCCTATAAAGGCCACCCGACAAGATAAAACCCTAAACAATAGCCGCCAAACTTAAAAAAAAACACAAAAGACCTCAGCCCCAAATCCTGAACTTTCAAACCTAAACCCTGAACCTAACCGGAAAAGGAACGAAAGCCCTAACCCCTAAACCCTACAAGCCCTAAAACCTACACCCAAAACCTCAAAAGCACAAAAGCTTTGACCCAAGCTTCCAACAGAACCGAAGCCGGAGCTCGAGAGTTTCCAACAGCGCTGGCAACAGTTCCAGGCCGCCTTCCTGTGGTTCTTCTTTTTGGAGGCCTCAAAAGGTGGGATGAAGGTAGGTGGGATATTCCCAAATAAGAATCCTTGTATAAGGGATCCTTAATCCTACCTACCTTCATCCCACCTTTTGAGGCCTCCGATCTTTGGGGTGTGGGGTTTAGGATTCGGGGGTTTGGGGGTTCGGGGTTTGGTTTAGGGTTTGAGGTTTTGGGGTGAGGGGTTTAGCGGATCAGGGTTTGGTTTGGGGTTTCTGGTTTTGGGGTTTGGGGTTTACAGGGGTTTAGCTACCTGCTAAGGGT